GGTCAAAATTATATACAAGATCTGTTTCTTGCATTACCGTTGTCTTTTAACAATCACAATGCCAAAATATTTTGGCGTACAATAGGTACGTGACCAATGACCATTCATGCCATAATAATGACATTATTTTCTTATATCATCTCAAACCTCCCTCTAGAGGTGAGTGTGGTATATTCACTACCACTAGCACGTTCATATTCTTTGAAGAATGAATATGTATTCATAAATCAGATGTTTCACATTCACATCATGAATGGACCATAATCATCTATATGTGCTTTATAAAATCCCATGTCAAATCGATGACAAATATTACTTTCACAGAGTGAAGGATTATTTTGAGAATCCTTATTATTCTCATTACCACAAATGATGACGATTATAATTTCGTCTATTGCCACGTCCATATCCATTGATACATTCATATTAATAATTTTGTCTTCTCAGACTTATCACATATTGCTATCACATTCTCTTAAGGGAATGAGAATGGAGCAAATTCAATGGGACGGGTTTTCAATTCTTTGCCCACAATCATACATGAATTTGATCATGGCGGGCATAGAAATTTTACCACTTCAGGTGGTTATAATTTCTTACAAACTCCATTAGAGTTATAATCAAACTTTGTTGTTTTTGCTTGTATATAAAATCAAATTGCAGAATTTTTCAAGAATTTAAAAGAGAAAAAAAAAATACTTACCTTAAATCCAGAATTTAATCATGAAGGAAGTTCATGGAACAATTGACAGTCATTATGCTCAATCCCAGAGCTTCTACTCAATTGGTTAGAGTCTCGTGCTGATAACGTGTTATAAAATAATAAAAGAAGAAGAACACTATTGCAGAGAAAAGTAGAGAGAGGGGATTCTTATTGATTTGGAGTGAATTACAATGGAATAGAACCCTCTATTTATAGGGAGAGAGTGACTTAGCCACCAAGCAATGAACCCTAGAATCTCTCTAAATATAGACATTCACCATACAAACAATTCTATTTATAACAATTAATTAATACAAAAAAATAGATTCCTTAATATGTGTGAAAACAACCAAAAAATTACTTAAAGTGACCGAAGAGAGCATTAATTAAAGGCAACGTATCTGGTCCCTAGATATATATGGAGTATATAGGATGCAGGCAGTGAAATGAAAGGGGTTCACTATAGTCACAGCTAGTGGCGGAGCCACATGCATCTAAGGGGTATCACCGATACTCCTTCGTCGGAAAATTATAATTAAAAAAATATGTATATATACTATACAATAATATTCCTTGATTTCTTGGTGAGTTTATTTTTTTATATTTTGACTTTTTTTAAGAAAATTCTGATTTCGCTACCAGTCACAGCTAGTTACTGAAAAATCCTTTGAATGACACGTACGTGTTAGAACAAGCCCATAAATCCACTAGCTACCTATATTTTTTTTTAACATTATATATGAACTTTTCCTTATATCAATGGACTTAGTTATCTTAATGTTCTTAAACGTAGAAAATTAACTTTTTAAAATATAAAGATATCCTTTAGCAATACCGGCTTGCTCTCCTTTACCTCCCCCCCCCCCCCCCCCATAACTTTGTTAAATTTTGTTTAATGGGTTGCACCTGCTCTCTAAGATATGCAATATATATATACTCCATCCTTTCTTAGTTGTCATGTTTTCCTGTATAATTTGACTAATCTTAGAAATTAAATTGGATTAGATATCAACTTAATATTTTAATATTAAAATTAAAATATTTAAAAAAAATCCTCTCTATCTTTATAAGGTAGGGGTAGGGTCTACGTAAACACTATCTTCCCAGCCCCCACTTATGTGATTATACTGATTTGTTGTTATATATTTAAAAATTATATGACAAGTACTACATGTTGCATTTCTTTTCATATCAGTATGATAAGTGCATTTTACCAGATGTTAACCATATAATTTCTCTCATAAAAACATATAAATTATCATGTTTCCTCCATATTCTTAACTTTATTTTGCAGGAATAATTATAGCAGAATTATTGTGCACAATATGAAAAAAGAAAAATAAATATTCAAGAAAAATACAACAAAGAAGTATAAGATCGAGCTATGATTCATTATTGCCGTGACAATGCACCAAATCTAGATTTGCCATTGAAATCTAGCATCAAATCGAGAATTTGAATTCTCATATCTGCAAATGCAAAATCTAGATTTGCCATGATGAAATCGACGAAATCTAAACTTAGAATGACGAATTCTCATATCTGCAAATGCAAATCTAGATTTGCCATGGAAATCTAGTACCAAATCGAGAAGTCATCATGAAACTTTCTTATATAAGAAGATGTTGCCCGATCAGAGAAGAGGATCGCAGTAGAGAGAAAGCTTAGAGCTAGAAGTCTGAATCCAAATTCTTAATAAGCTTCTATATTTTATTTCTTTCACTAGTATCGAGTTATCTTTTCTTTTAAATCACAATAGTGGTTTAGTTGTTGTTGCTAAATAAATTTCAGTGTAGGAAATTACTCTAGTTCCTGCTTCTAATTAAATAGGGGGAATTATTCTTCTTGAATATTTCTTTCTATTTTCTTATTTAATGGACAAGAATATTTCCATTGTTAGTACTAATTCCAGTATGGAGTAACTTTTCTTGTGTTGGGAGAAAGACGGATCTTAATATTTCTATATAATAGTAGATATTATTCCTCAAATTCACATGATTGAGCTAGAATTTATTTAACTTTTATCTACTTTACAGTTAGACGTTATTTGATTTATTAACATCTATCTATCTTGTACTACATATTAACTGTTTATTAGTTCTGTAATCGAGAGAGGCGGAAGAAATAATATAGTTAAGTGTAGTATTGATAAATGTTAAAATTTATTCAGTAACATCTATCTCTTTTATATTATAATTAATTTTACAGTTATTTATAATCGAGAGAGGTGAATAGTGTAATAATCAGTTATAACAAGTAGGGTAACCGAAAGGGACTTACTAACAAGAGCGTGTTTTAGTTCAATCATATATTTCTGGTTCTTTAATATTACTAGTTTGAAGATTAATTTGTATAACCGAGAGGAGTGCAATTAATTATTCAACTTAAGTAATTATATATATTTGTAATCGTGAGAGGCATTTATACATTTTTGAGAAATAGAAATTGAAGAATAGTAATTCCAATATATAGTAGAAATATTAAGTGAAGTCAAGATCCCAACACCTTTTTATTATATTTGTGAAAAACAAAATATTTTCTACTGCTCTATTCATGCATTTTTAGTTAGTTAATTTACAACTCAACTCTTTCTAATTTTCTCAAATAGTAATTAAAACAAGAAACGTATGTAGAATAGATAAACCAATCTCTGTGGGTTCGATCTTTCTATACTATTATTTGACAAAGTACAAGTTAGAATTTTATATACGCTAGACAATCGTCACAATATGACGAAAAATATATTTTTAAATATTAGTCAAATGCTATATAGTTTGAATCTCGAGATATGAAACATAGGACGGAGGGAGTATCGATAATGGAGTAATTAAGAAATAAAGCAATCTTAGCTTAAGGAATGAATCTATCTGATCAACAAGTAATAGATGAAGCAATTTCATTTGCTGCAGCATTTTCGTATTATATTGGCACATTTTTTTTTTTTTTGGTTTTTTTTTTTGGTTTTTCACTTGATATTCGGTATATGTATTGGAGCATAATATATCTGAATTCACGCTGAGTAGGGCCTTATTCGGGAAGAAGCGCTCCCTATCAAAGATTTTTCCACACCTAGGACTTGAATCTGAGATCTCTGGTTAAGAGAAGAGCAGCCCATCCGCTGCACCACATCCTTTGGTAGGAGCGAATTTAGAATGTCGATGACAGGTTCAATTGAACCCATAACTTTCGACGCGGATTAACAATTTATATGTAAAAATTCGTTAAAATTACATAAATAATAGATATGAACCCATAAATTTAAAAATATAATAGATTCAATGCTAAAATCTTAAAAGTTGAACTCATAAAATTTAAATATTAGATCCGCCTTTGTCCCTCGGTGGTTATTAGCGTCTGAGTAACTAGATTAGCTGGCCTTTTGAATTTCTTCACCTCTATTATTGATCCTATAAAGTATTTGAATATGAAATTAATTAATCAACAAGTTTCTTATCATCTTTCTTTAAACTAGCATGACCTATGATGCTCAATCAATCAATATTAATTTTGTTACTCTAGCTTGTTATTTAAGTATTCAACTAGGTATAACAATCATTGAATCTGTTTCAAACATTACACAATTAAATAGAATTTAATACTGTAGTTATTTCTTCCATAGAAAAAGACTGATAACAATTTTCTATAAATAAAATGTCCTTACATTATCAATATCATTAATCATTGATATGTGCCAGGTAACAATATTACTAATTCCAAATAGCATAATATAGTTTGTTTTTTTTTCCTTTGAGTATCGTACGGGATTCTAATTGTTCTCAAATCATAATATAGTCAAACCTCTCTATAACAATTTTGTTTGTTTTAAATATTTTTCGATATTATAGCAAATTACTATTATCGAAAACATATATTATATCCCTTAGGGGATGGTCCAGTTTGGAGGGCGCGGTCATCTATACAGATGACCTGGGATCGGTCCCCCCTCAATGCCTTCTGGATCGAGCTTATCGCACAGGGCTTGCCTAGTGCGGTTTACATCCCATGTGTGATTTGTGAGCGATTATACAGTGAGGGGTTTACCCAGTGCGCATAGAGTGCACACTCGAAGGGCAAAGGCTATAGCTACTGCGGGTTTCCCTGGGGTTCCAAAAAAAAAAGAAAACATATATTATAATAGAACATAAAATTTAGTTCCGGAAAAACTTGACGTTTATAGTGAAATGCTATTATATAAGAATGTTATTATAGAGAGTCCGACTGTATAATAATATATATCCCGGAATTTATTGCTTAAATTAATGATACATTCGTCTATTTAATCTCAGCCTTCATCATTCCATATGTTCAAATTTTCAGAAAATGGCCACTTTGAGCCGATTTTTCCAATCTGCATGCACTATAGTTTTAGGATATGGGAACCAAATTTCAAGTCAAGAAACTGAGAAAATACAAAAGATTAAGATGAAAAAAGAAGATGATTATGGTGAAATTTGTGCTTCATCTTCATTGTCAGAAGGAATATTTCAGATGCCACTTCATTATCCACGTTACAAGAAGGCAGATTATGAGAAGATGGATGAATGGAAATTAGACATTCTTCTCAAGCAATATGGTTTCTTGAATTTTAATGGGAGTTTAGAGGAGAAAAGAACATTTGCTATGGGTGCATTTTTATGGCCGGATCAACTTTGAATATGCCTTTTTTGGTCGGACCAACTCAACCAGCGATTTCCGACAAGTCTTTCTCTGAAATATCGCTTCTTCAATACTGCTCTAGCTATCTATCTATCATATGAAAAAACTAAAATAATATGGTTTGAATATGCCTTTCTTGGTCGGACCAACTCAACCAGCGATTTCCGACAAGTCTTTCTCTGAAATATCGCTTCTTCAATACTGCTCTAGCTATCTATCTATCATATGAAAAAACTAAAGTAATATGGTTTGAATATGCCTTTCTTGGTCGGACCAACTCAGCCAACGATTTCCGACAAGTCTTTCTCTAAAATATCGCTTCTTCACTTCTCTAGCTATTTATCTGTCATATGTAAAAACTAATGTGCATGTGAACTTCTACGAGCAGAACTCCTTTTTTTTTCTCTTTTAACTATTATTGGATTGAAAAAATATGGCATCGTAGATTATAAGGAGAATCATCGGATGGGAAGAAATTAAGTTACTTTTGTATTATTATATGCACCATACTAGTGAACTTTATTAGTTATGAATTTCAAGATACTTTAATGGAAATCTTCACTCTTGAATTAAGCATCAAGACCGAAAAAGTAATATATAATTCTTATAAAATTTGTTCGCGTTTAAATTATATGAGAACTAGACGTACATGATTCAAAATACAAACCAAACATTAGATAAAGTAATACCAAATTCTATATCTCTATTGATTTTATTTTATTTTTTGTGAGTATGGAGGAGGGTAACAAAAGCCCCCTCTCTAATGAACAAGGTTCTAATTAATTATGCTCCTAATGTTTGTTACTTATAACAGAGAAACTCGTTGAAGTGATGTATTTCGATGAATTAGATCTATTGCCGATTATAAGTGATGATCATGAGTCAATATTGTGAACAAGGATCATGATTAAAATTAAAACTTTTCTAATCACTGCAAATGTTTGGCTTTGAGACGGGGCGGCTCAACAAGATTGGGGGCTTAAAGCCAAACTTCATGGAGAGGCCCTAATTTTTTTTAAGGCAGAACTGTGTAAGATAGTCATACTGCTGAGGAGAAAAGAGTAAAATAACCCAAAGTTGCTTTTAACAAAAGGTTTGGCTGATAGTATGTAGTACTACGAATTTTCTGAAAAATACAAAATTACCTAAATAAACCAAAAGTTAATCCAAGAGCCATATTTGACCTTTGGGCCTTGGGCTGTTTAATGTGTACACAGCCTACACACACTTCAAAATGCTATAGCAATCAGCCTCCTAAGACGGTCCAGGCCCTATGGTATGAACCAGAATTTTTTTTGAAGAAAAATTAACTTAAACAGCCGCTCTAAGTAAAATATTTGCCGGATGCATAATATACGTATAATTCATATATAATATGTATATAATCTATGTATGATTCTGACCAACTATTTATGTAAAGATTCCGATTTCGTACACATTGGCCAAGATGTGTCTCAGACTCTAGTCGTGACCACTGATTTTAATTAAGCTCATCACCAACAGCTAAGTTCAGTTCAGGTTGGCCAAATGGTGTTCAATCTCTGCCTTCCTTGTGGGCTCTGGGAATTTCTCACATCTCTTTCACCAACCTCATTCAACACTTCTTTTTCCTTATTCAATTACTTATATGAATTTTTTTTTGGCCAGATACTTAATACTTATTTACTCCATCTTATGTTTTTTGAAGGACCATTCAGTTATACTTAATTGCTCGTTTGGACATAAAATTTGATGGGAGATTTTTCCAAAACATTTTCACTTTTTTCCGAAATCAACGCTTGTTCATAAAATTTACAATTTTCACTTGGAGATGCATTTTGGAAATTTTTGAAAATTTGAAAAACTGCAAAAAATTATTTTTGAAAATTTTCACTCAAATCACTCACAAAACTTCAAAAACAACCCAAATTGCACTCTAAATTTCACATATCATTTTCACTTAAAACAAATTCACAATTTTTTTAGAATTTTACAATTTTTATGTCCAAACGCCTACTTATTAAATGGGTCAAGACTTTTGTTTCCTCTTTTTGTTTGAGGAAGTCTGTCTGTGGCAGAACCTAGGGCTGCTTATCGGGCGGATTGGACGGTTATTTACTCTTATCGGTTTGGCTTATCGGTTATCGACTTTTAAATATATTAATCCGCTAGCCACCGATAAGGTATCGGGCAGATTGGTATCGGTTTAGCTCTTATCCGGCGGTTTATCGGCCTAGCAAAATTATCAATGATTCTAGATTTATAAAACTTCCGAGTCAGTCCCCAATTCCTAAAGTTCATGACTACTCAAGAAAATACAACTAAACAGTAAACTCTCACACAGTCACACGAACCAAAACTTCACCTGCTTGCTGTCCATAGACAGTTTATTTCCAAGTTCTAGTCTTACTTTTTCGTTAGGATGTGGATTCTCCTTGAAAGCACTGTGACAAACAAATGAACAAAAATTGGAACTAATATAAACAAAATTAACAAGTAAAAATAGAAATTGGAATGATACACACGTTTCTAGCTCTAGAATTTGGTTTGCAGTATGCCTGCTGTATTTCCTTCTTTTTGATGAATTATTGAGAACAGAATCGGCAAGGGTTTTTGTTTTTGATTATTCAAGGTTTTTTTAGTATATATATATATATATATATATATATATA